CATTGCTGTATAATCATTATACATCAATGCAGAACACCACCAGCTATACAGGACTAGAAGTCTAAGCAATGCATTATAATGTAAATTGTGCTGCCTGGCGGTACCTGCGATGTCTGTAGCAGCTCAGCCAGGCAGACAGGTGACCGACACAGCCTCCTCTCCCCGCACATTCTACTGCTACGGGTGGCAGAGCGGCGGGGGAGGGAGGGGGATTTGCATGAAGGAGCTGCATGAAGGGCCCTCTGCTTCCTCTCTGGGCCCCCCGAACAGGTGGAACTCTTCGGCTAACGAAGGGAAGGAGGAGTGGAGGAGTCCGGTGACGTCACGGACATCAACGTCACCGGACTCCTCCCCCTTCCCTTCGTTAGCCATCCCACTTGGGGAAGGGGAAGGAGTGCGGTGACGTCGATGTCCGTGACGTCACTGGATCTCCGACGGAACTCTCGGAAGACCCGGAAGCCGGTGGAGAGGTGAGTACCGATCAAAAGAATTTTGATTGATCAAAAAAATAACGATTAATCGAGGGATTAATAGTTAATTTCCGCAGCCCTATTTCCTAATATTGTTATTTGCATATGACTACATGAACCACCATGTGAAATCCCATGATGGTTGAGAATGGTTACACTATAGAAGGCAGGAATGAAACTTGTGAATCCCAAATCTGGAAGTTCATGCTTCCTATGGGGCTTGCAGTTGCGGTCCAGAGCACTGCACAGGTGCAACTAAGATGCGTGTTTGTCTAATGAAAGTGTCTGATATGCATCTGCATTCCCATTCTGCTTTATGTGATCATACAACAGGCACTACTGCAGTACTCACCCAAAGTTTGCATTTTAGGGCAGATCTGTAAAACCAACTTTATAAATAATCCCTTTATACCAGTGCTGGTCTTTTATGGAAAATGTGTCTTGTTACCATTGGAAAACTATAAACAACCTGGTTTACAGAATTCAGCTGTTGCATGGGAGAAGTCTCTTAGCAGCATTCATCTCTCTTAGACATGGAGTGTCAAATGGGGTATGGAAATAAAGAAGCAAAGGTGGCAACAAGAAACAAATATGAATACCTTTCATTGAACAAGCTGTTTCAAGAAGTTAATTATTTCACTATATTGTTTTGCAAGTTTGTCAGAAAGAAAGATTTGGGCTTTCAAGGAAACCTGTATTGGGGGAATGATGCTGCTGTTTTTAACACTATTAGAAAGGTAATGGTCTGGGTGTCTTTAGCTTTAATATCCCCTCAGTCACTGGCCCAGCATTGGAATCATAGGCGTGCTAAGACTATTGCATTAGGGTGTGCACACAAAAGTACAATCACACACATGTAAATATATACATACTCTGTATATATAATGCATACATACATGCATACACAGACCTGAGGCATCCCGGTTTCCCATCTCTTCCCTTACCTCTTCCAACAAGGCTGAAGTAAAGAAGCAGGGAGGCTGGCAGGTGGTCAGGCTTCCTGACTGGATGGGAAGCTGCAGCCATGCTCCTTCCCAAGCACTGAGGACTGCGGCTGTTATGTGAGTAAAGTAAGTGGCAAGTGCTGCTGTGCTCTGTATCACTGAGCCAATCACAGAGGGATCTTTGCGATTTCTCCACTGGCTCAGTGACTAAAAACATGGCGCCCGCTGTTGTGGTTTCGCTGTTGCACTCGGGGCGATTAGGGTGTGCCCAGGCACACCGTACACATCCTGTGCGCATGCCTATGATTGGAATGTTCCTCAGAATCTTCACGTCTATACACTGTGTATAGAACGTGATCATTTATGACCACTGCAACGGATGGGGCGGAAGGCTTGTAGGACTCGGCTAAGAGCAAGCCGGCTCCGCGAATCAGGTGAGTATAACTTTGTTTTTAACAACTACACAATAACGAGTAATTAAACCATTGCAGTGCAAGTGTAGCCCCACTGCAAGGGTTAATAAAAGTGCTATGGAGTTCCTCCATAGCACGCATCTGCTGGTGGCAACAAGCTGTACTTTCGTCCATAGTTTATATTCACACATATTTACCTGATCAGTTGTTTAGCTTGTCTGCCATGCCAGACTGGAGAGTAAATATATGGTGTTCTTGCATGCCAAGAACAGTGACAAGTGAAATGTGTATTTACATTTAATGCAGGTCAACTATTTGACATTGTAAGGTTATGGAAATTCTGAGGACAAAATAGAATAACTGCGAGGGAGGAATCCCACAAGAACCACAACATTCAAGAGTTGTATGTTTGAATTAAAACAGACAATGGTATGGCTATAGGCTTCCTCTTCAAGACCATGTCAGTAATTCATTCTTGCTGTCCTTTCTGTTTATTTTGAGCCATGTGACTCCAGAACGTTTATCAATACATGTGTCTCTTTCTATGGAGACAATCAGTACAATGGACATTCACTTTAGGTGCTTGTGGGCCAGTGAAGCTTCCTCATTTAGAGCCAAGATAAGGAGGTAGGAGGACTCTAGAAACAGTAGATCACATTCAATATTGTGTTTGCTCCAAAATACTTGCGTTAATGCAGTCTAAGAAATGTCTGCGCCAAATTCTAAAACATTAAAACAGTAGAAAGGCATCATGGCACACTCACAAAACCAGCATGTAAAACAACATGTCTCACCACTAAGGATAATAATAGAGGTTTGGATACACGTCTTCTGCAGAGGATGTGAAAGCCGCACAGCCGCACCAAGGCACCTCTTATAGTGCGGTCCTAACTCTAAACTATGAGAGCCTCCATTTTGGAGCACATGGGGGCAGAAGATTTCAAATTGGGTGCAGGTTTGTCAGGAGGACGCCCAGCCTCCTTAAAAGCACAGAAACACACAAGGGATCCCGCACATCCCAATGGCAGCTGAGAAACCCCATGCGTCGATGCACCGAATCGGTCAAGCAAAACAAACGACAAACGCACTCAACAATTTGTCACCAGTTATACAGTAAGGTGCACACGAAATCTTCTGCCCCCATGTGCTCCAAAATGGAGGCTCTCATAGTTTAGAGTTAGGACCGCACTATAAGAGGTGCCTTGGTGCGGCTGTGCGGCTTTCACATCCTCTGCAGAAGACGTGTATCCAAACCTCTATTATTATCCTTAGTGGTGAGACATGTTGTTTTACACGCTGGTTTGTGAGTGTGCCATGATTCCTTTCTACTGTTTTACTGTTCAAAGCCCATTTCGTGTGCACCTTACTGTATAACTGGTGACAAATTGTTGAGTGCGTTTGTCGTTTGTTTTGCTTGAAATTCTAAAACATGCCACGCCATATTCCGCACCAACTCCTGAGCCAAAGTAGTTCTTATTTGAATATGGCGTTTTCCTTGCGACATATTTATTAGATAGAAGAAGTAAAGTATGTCACCAGCACACTGTAGTTAAATTTTCAAGAAGGGATCATTTGTGTGTGCATCAATAAAATGATCCCTTCTTGGAGATTTAACCATGGTGTGCTGTTGATATCCTTTAGTACTTGAATCTGAAGCTGTACCATCCGCAGTCACTACAGCATCCAACGCAAGGGACATACTAGTAAGGAGTGCGGTAGGACTCTCCTGCATTGTATTTAACCACTTGCTGCCCAGAGCAATTTCTTACATTTGCACACGCTTGATAAAATTTTCATTTTTGCAAGTAGACACATCTGATGCGTGTTTACATTGTATGTGCGTGTACGTGGGGGGCGGGGGACTTTAAAAAAAAAAAATTGCCATTTTTATTTTGTTTTTATATGTTACTTTAATTGTAAAAAAAAATTTACACTCAGCTTTATTGCTATCGCATAAGGAGCTAACAAACCGCCTATGTAATAACAAATATAATGTGACAGGACCTCTTTATGGCGGCATCAGGGGTCTTCCAGACCCCTAATGTCACCTAGGGACCCCAAAGAAGCTGATGAAGCAGAGATCTGCTTCATCAGTTTCTTCTGGCTCTGGAGCTTGAGAATGTGCCCAGTGACACCAGAAGTGATATATTGCACATCACTTCCGGGTCCAGTGATCAGAGCAGAGATCAGCGGCTGGAAGCCTGCTGATCTCCCTCCGATCTGTCCGGGGAGACCCACCGTGCCGGTCCCGGGCTCACACAGGGACAGTAGAGCCTGGGAAGCTGGCGACAGCACCAGCGGAGAGGGGGACACGGCGCCGCACCGCACAAACGATCCGGCGCATGTACAGACGCCAGATAACTTGCATTTATACAGCAATCGCCGGCTTTAAAAAAAGGTACCAGCCACAGCCATGTTCTTGGTATAGCCAATTCCAGCGGATGACGTGTATTTACATGACCCCGATGGAAGTGGTTAATAAATAAGTTCTGAGAATAAACTCTAAGAAAAGTGATGCACGTTCATATTGAATATGTCTGTCGCAGTATGCAACACATGCCTCATTTGCAACATGCCTTGAATCTGAGGATCCAACTGAAATCTGTAACACATCTATGTACTTTATTAGTGTGCACATACAGTATATGTCCCAAAGTTTGTCTCACAAGCCAAGTTTCATAGGTTTGCTCCAAATGTATGAATGCTTTAAAGCCATGCCATGCTTTGGCGCAAAATGCACTACTATTTGTTTCAAGGACACTCTTTTTGAATACCCCTGATAGAATTCTTTCAAGACTCTATTAAATTAACTGCTCCATCACTTGCCCAATTACATCAATACAAAGGCTTTAAATGCTTCTCTATTGTTCCACTATGCGTTTAGCCAAACTGATGTCCAAAACCTACCTATCTCATAGAAAGGCAATGTGAATGTATGGAGAGTAGCCATAGAGTGTGATATGGACAGGGTGGATGGAATAGGTGCAGCTGGAAACAATTAGATGTATTCCACATTCATTTATCATGAACAAATATTACTCTTAGCTGGAATTCCTTAAAGAGTAATATGTATTAGATATCGTAACATATGATTATCACAATCTATTAGAGAGGCATAGTTCAACACACTCATATTTTGTATTATTTACCCGGTGTGCTTTCTCGTTTTGCAGTTTGTAAGGGAACATTTGGTGCAGATGCCATTAGCGGATTACACAGCTTGGCTCCAGACAAGACTTGCTTCTTCGTCATCCAATAGAGTCCAGAGTGCACCTCCACAGAGATGACCACTGCAAGGCTGAATAATAAAATTTGTCATAGTCACAAAATACAACACTACTTGTTATCTTGCTTTTTTCCCCAGCAACACAGGGTAACCTATCTTTATTTATATTTACATTGTCATTTCTCTATCTGTACCATACGTCTATCCAATCTTGGAGTTTCTGTCATTTTAGTCTTCAGAATTTGTACAATCTTTCATGTGCAGAGCAGTAACATACTGACACTGACATACTATATAAAAATATGAACATTTAATGACAATTAAATCCCTGTTTGTGTTTGCACTGTCACTTATAGAGTTAGATTGCGGCACATAAACCTCAACACTAGCAGGGTTAGTCACAAAAGGGTGCAGAGTTTGGAGAAGGCAGGAGAGGTGAACAATGTAGGACAACATAGCTGAACTGGAAAGTGACATGAATTGGAGAATTTTTCCAGGTCAGCTATGTTGTCCCCGATTGTTCACTTCTCCTGCCTTCTCCAAACTCTTCACCCTTTTGTGAATAGCCCTGTAGTGTTTCTAAATAATGTCAACATTGGTAGGTACTACTCCACCTTTAGATGTTATTAAGTAACTATTAAGATATTACTTTCTTTACCTGCATATTGTTCATTTTGCCCACTCCCGTCCTTCCGCTTATCTCCATACAAATCAAGTTTTTTTTAATATATATGTTGTTAATATTACCAATAAAAAAGTATTTTGATTAAATATCTGCTGATTATGTTTTTGAGACTTGATGACTCCCTGTAACCCATTTCTACAACTTGTATATCCCACCACTTTACAATTTCACATTTAAAATGTGTATAGATAACGTGGTATGATATAGCTTATAACAGTGGTTCTCAACCTGTGTAACCTCAGGACCCACATTTGTTCTTGGTCATTAAGTCACGACCCAAAAATAATTTCATTTCTGAAACATTATTCTTTATTCCACAAAACAACTTGGCAATATTCACCAATGTATATATGCAAATTTTAAACAGTTCAGCCTGTGCAGGCCATCAAGTTTGAGTTAACCATAAATTATGGCCCTAGAATTTTTGCTCTCACTCTGATGTTCATGGTGATACCTAACATGTGTGGCGCACTCGTTGTTTACATACACATGCATGCCCCACATGCGCGTGCTTATTCTCATGCAGATGGCGGGGTTGGTTTTAATTGTTTTTTATTTAATTTTTTTATCACTTTGTAAAAACTTTTCCCACTTGAATTTATTGCTAGCACACAGGAGCTAACAAGCTCATATGTGATGGCAAATGGAGGTGGCATGTTTTCTTTTTAGAGACATCTGTTGTTTCCATAAAGAGCACCTGTTGCCCAGATCTCTTGTAGAAAACAAGCAAGTTCACATTAATATTATATACTGCACATATCTCCCCATCTGCCTACCTCTCTTAGCTCAGAGCCACAGTCTCTGGGCAGGCTGTGCTTCTGGCCTATTTGATATACATCCACCGGGTTTCCTGCCTACACAGGCGGGACGCTAGATATCCCTCCCCATCCATCTACCATGTCATAGGAGTCCCTCTGCGCCATACCCTCTTCTTTCTTTCCGGGCCCCGGGGTGGATCACACATGCAACCACTGCGCCCCTGGTAGTTCCACCTGTGAGTCTTTTGGTGGTAGGTTGTGCATGTACCACAATTACATTTGCTATTTTCTTCTTCTTTCCAAACTCCAGCAAAAATGTTTTATTTACTTACTGTTTCATATATAGAGCAAGGATGGGATTAAGCCTTTGTCAGGTTTCTAATTCTTTCAGTATCCCTATTACTTCCCTTTACTTCCTGTCAGGACAGGGAGTGATGGGGAATCTCTTCAACAGGGGCACGGATAAAAACACATTTTATTAGAGTGGGGAAGGCTTACAACTTCTTGTTATGTTGTATTGCTGCTTCTGCCTCTCATGATGACTCCCACACTTCCCATTACTTCTACATGGTCTCCAAAGGATAGGAAGTGAAAGAAAATTTCCCCCAATGAGGTCATAGAAATAAAACAATAAATCTTTCCCTCTCCAAAACCAACAAAAAAAAACAAATGTTGACCTTTAACCTATTATATTTAGACATAATAGTATTCTATAGATCTGTGCTATACTGAAAAAGAGATTATCAATTTAAAAGGGTGCCTTAACGCCCCCCCTTTCCTGTCCTGCTGGGTCTTTGCTCGGATCAAGATAATGGTAGGAATTTAAGGAGGGACCCCACTTTTTTGCCCCCATTCTTTAAGGTTCCCCCTTTAAATTCCCACCAGACCTAAAGGGCATGGTATGACTTAAGTGGGGAACCCCACACACTTTTTTTGTAATTTTTAACTTAGGGGGGTCCTTCCTAACATTCCTACCAGAGCTAAAAAAAAAATATTTATTTTTCCCTTTGTCTAATTTTACTTTGCTGCAACGAAAGTTTCATTTTAACGAAAATTGGTACATACTACCGCTAAAGAAAATCTGGATTTGTTTTGTTTTTTCAAAGTTGATGCCTAAGGGCTCAGTCACACTAGATGCAGTGCGTTCCGGCCCGTTTTTGGCCCGGAGCGCACTGCCTTGCATTGCGGCCGGCTCACTTTTTAGTGGGGTAGGAGGGGGCGTGGCTGGCCATTCAACTGAATGGTGCCGTAGCCACGCCCTCCGGCCGCAATGCAATCCGCCGCATGGGATCGCAAGGCACATTGTGCATGCGGTCCGATCCTGTGCGTTGCGATCAAAATGCTACAAGCACTACTTTGATTGCACCGCACAGGGCCGGACCGCGGGCACAATGTGCCTTGCGATCCCATGCGGCGGATCGCATTGCGGCCGGAGGGCGTGGCTACGGCACCATTCACTTGAATGGCCCACCATGCCCCCTCCCACCCCACTAAAAAGTGCACCGGCCGCAATGCGAGGCAGTGCGTTCCGGCCAAAATCGGGCCAGAACGCACTGCATCTAGTGTGACTGAGCCCTAACACATCACTATCAGCTGCGCAGACAGACACACTTGCTGGAGCTTTGTGGTCACACTGCCGCTTGAAAAAAGATGGGAAAAAAATGGTATTTCCATTGAGAAGAAGCTGGGAAAGGGGGGTTAGAATTACACAGTGTAGGTATTTACCCCTTTCCCAGCTTCATCGGTGGCAGCAGTGCTAATGATTATACCCCCAGATCTAGGGCCCATTCACACCAGTGTGGTGCGTTAATTGCACAATTCCATTTGATAAACACATGCTACTATGCAGCGCATCTACCGTGAGTAACAGTTTGCGAGGTGCGTTGCATTGCCATTCATTTGAATGGTACTCTAAACGCGCCTTCGCCCACAATGCTCTTGACCAAGTTGCAACACGTGGTGCTGCAATAAGGTGCATTTCAGTGAGGCTGAAAAAATAGTGCATGCACTATTTTGTTCAGCTGCACTGCACTGCAACGCACACTATTGCGGTACCGCGTACTGCAGCGTCGTTGGGTGCATTGTGGCCGCACTGCAGCAGGTTGTGTTCAGGTGCGTTGCAGTGTGGTTGAGTGCAGGTGCTTTTGGGGTTCCATTCAAATGAATGGCAGAGCAACGCACCTTAAGCACAGCGATAGTGACCCCTAATTATAAAATGTGTATTAGAATGTAAACAAAAGCCTTAATTTCTTACCTGAAACGGCAGTAATAGATGCAATAGTCACCTAACTGAATGGTTGTGAGTGAGGGAAGGTGGCATTGATGCTTTTTTTTCCTGCCCGGTGCTCAGCTTTAACTCTTTCCAGTACTTTATCACTGTCATTCACATACTGATAGACAGTGTAATTAATTCACACTGCATAGAGAAAATATTATATGCTAAAAGCTTGGATCTAAAAACTAGGCTAGTATCAGCTAGTTGAGTTTACTCTGTAATCCATTGCACAGTAAACTGTTGCAGGCAATGCAACATCAGTTTACCCGAGTGAATATTGTGATTCATCCGTGGGTGCCGTACAGGTCCATTATGTATATCAAAGAGGCCAATCTACAGCCAGATTAGGTTAATAAGTAGACTGTTGTAAACAATCATCTGTTGATTGAAAATGTAATTGCTATGAAACAAATGGTTCATATCAATCTTCTACTGGTGGTAAAATCATCTTCGGGAAATGGATTAAAAATGTCTTCTGACTGGCACTCCAGTGCTTTACACTGACCTCAACAACAATCTTGAGGGTTTGGGAGCTCAAACATAGGAAAGGATTTAAAGAGTTAGTCACAGATTGCTGTAGACATTTCCATTCACAGCAATCAATTTATGATGGGATGCCTTAAAAACTGCTACATGTATGGCCACTTTAACCACTTGAAGACCGGGGTGTTAAACCCCCCTTCCTGTTGTCCTGACAGAATTAACAGACCTCACATTACCAGGAACAGAGATTCATATGCTTGTCATAAGTAAAATATATTCAATACGTATTGGGCAGGACGTCAAGACAAACAAACATTCTACTACTTCACAACAGGTTACATTAATTTTTAAGCAAAGCCACATTAGCATAATTAATGAGACACATCCCAGTGGCATCCCTCACTGGGTAGGCATGGAAATACAAATCATCCAATAATATTTGATTATTTATAACAGCAATTAGATAATTAACTGTCTAAAGCCGCAAAGTCACTCCCAAAATCACTTTATTTTAATACTTATTTTCAAAGAAACCTTAATCAAATCGAAAGCTTCATTTCAGGGAAGTAAACCTATTCTAATGGTTCTTCCTGGTGAGCTGACTTGGACCTGTGTCTGACACTATACCATATTTGGGAGTATTGATCACCTTGTTAACAGCCCACAAGTCCAGGATGCTGCAAAAAACTGGAAATTCTGCAAAACCTGTGAACCGCAAAATAAAGCTGAGGTAGATATATGGGTCTATTCACTAAGCTGCTGAAGGATCTAGCCGTAGCGTCGGCTGATCCTTTGGCTAGCATTGGCCCCAGGACACCTTTGGTTCAGTAGAACGGAAGGGCTGCTGTACAGGCTATTCAATATAGCCCATACAGCTCCCGAAGTCGGCCGAGCAGCTCAGTCGAGCCAAAGGCATATGCCGGC